CAGACCTAAATAGAATCAGTTTTGTTGTTGAAATTTATTATGTGATCTAAGAAAACATGACTGATAAAGGTTTGCATAGTAATTGCACATTTCATATTTCTTTGTATTTCTTTGCTTTCAGTATTGGATAAATGAGTATACTTCTTCCATTGGTCTAGGGGTATTCCATTCGGGTGTGGAAATATATGGAACAGGTAATGTATTTTTGATATGCATCTTATGATATGGTGGCCTTTGAAATCCAGTAGGTAAAGGATGACATTTACGGATATTGATAAGAAGTAAAGGATAATAAGGAAACTTGGGTATGAAATCTTGTAGCATACTCTATATCAAATTTAATAATAAGTGTTTAGACTGTTTGTAAGCCCTGTGGGACTCCCATCTGTTGTGCTGTACAGAGGCTTTGGTTTGAGGGGATCCCCAGCATTTTATACCTTTTTGTGGTATTCCTGATAAACAGCATGTCGGGGAATTGATTTGCCAGTCAGTAGTCTTCTTTGTTGTACAATCACTAAGCCTTTTAAACCTGTTGGATCCGGTTGCGTCACAGAAATCACAGTGCCGAAAATACAGGCATTGGGTTATGTAAGTAGCCACCATCCCGGGTATATGGTGCATAGGCCGGGTGCACGCGAACACCCACGAGTGTTGACAAGACTCAATGCCTCCCCTTTGCAAAGTTATTTTGTGTAAACTTTTATTAGCCTTTTTGCCATTTTCCAATGTCTATATTTGCCCTTTGACTTGCTTTATGTAGATGGTAATAACTAATGTTCCTTGCAAGGACTCCATATCATCTCTCTATTTAGTATATAATTCAGTGCAAGAAAACATTTGCTTGTTTGTGTCACATATCTCATTTTTTTGTAATTTTTAATTTTCTGTAATACAACCTGCTTGCTGGTCACAGTGGTCAGGAATATGGTGCACAACATCGAAATGGCGTCTTCCCTGGAGCTGGCACTCTTCCAGTCATGGCTTACGCACATTATATCCCACATTTATTTATTGATAGGAAAGATGACAAAGACCCGTTCTAAGCACCAAATGAGTCAGATCACACTCCAAGAGGTTTGTGCACTCGTGACGAGTCTTTTCCATCACCCTGGCCTTTATGACAGCAAGTTGGCTTCACCTGGCCTGTGGCCATTTTGCCCAATGACAGCATGTTCATGTCAACCCGGCCCTCGACCCAGATTTTTCCAAGGCGTGACCATAACGTCATCCCGATCATGTGCATTCAAAATTTCATTGATAAGGAGATAAGCTTTTTTAGTTATTGTCTGCCCTCGTGGAAGGATAAATAGCTTTTCTGACTCCCTTATCCAGTAGCTCCTCTTTCAAGCCCTTGCTTGTTGTTGCGGTGGGTGGGGTTAGGAGATGGAGACTGAGGCCCATTGTAAAGGATCACCCGTACCTTGGGCCTCAGCCCTTGTCTTAACTAATTTTTCATAGTTTTTTCTTTTCCCTTTTCTTCTCAAGTATCTTCTTCATCCCCTTCTTCTGTCCAATTCCTAAGGTGTGAGAGCTGTGCTGAAAGGATGAAAGGCGGGCTTTATATCAGTCATGAACAATCTCCGGGAGGCATAGACATGGTATTCCTGTGGTTAATCGCCTAGCCCGTATTCCCTATGGGGACACTGAGGGATAGACTCTTTTCCCCACTTATTTCAGGCTCACTATGGCCAATAATGAAGATGTTTTATCCTTATTAAGGGCATTTAGACTTGCCCCATCATCAAATAGCCTATCTAAATTTGATTTCACTGTTGTTTTTATTTTTTACCCCCCCCTCTTCTTTGACCATGACTATCCACTGATACCTCCTCCCAAACTTTTACTGACAACTCTGTCCATTCCAAACCACTCACCCAGGCCATTACTCAACCTTTAGAAAGTACCTTTTCCTCTCTCCCAACATTCTCTACTTCATCTCTTACTGCAAAGTCTTCTTTCTTGTCTTCCCCCTTCCCCCACTATTACTTCTCTTCATCCTTATTTTCCTCCTCCCCACAATACTACTTCACCCCACACCACCCTATCTTCCTCCTGCCCATTTCCTTCAACTACTTCCACCTCTGTAAACCTTTTGAGTACTCTCTTTAGCCCAGCCAAGTGGGATTGATTATTTGTGATTCCCCCTACAGCCCCTTACTCTGACAATACCCTTCTCTTCCAACAATGTATCTTGAAATAAGTAGGCAAAGTTTCCATTTGCAGTCATTCCAGTCGTTCACGCCTTGTCACAGTTACATCTGAATCCCAAGCTTGTGCACTATCTACCCTGACTGACTTCACTGGAAAATCTTTTCTTGCAGAACCCCAATCCTCTCTTAATACTTGTCCTGGAACTGTTTCCATCTCCCTGACTGATTGTCCTATCTATGACAAAAACTGGGCAGACTGTGAAAATGACGTACTTACCCACCTTGCTGACTGTGATGCAGTGGTAGTACAGTACTACACTATTCCGCCCAAATTGCAGCATAAGTCACAC